CAATGACCTGTACAACAAAGCTGAAGATAAACAATGACCTGTACAACAAAGCTCAAGATAAACAATGACCTGTACAACAAAGCTGAAGATAAACAATGACCTGTACAACAAAGCTGAAGATAAACAATGACCTGTACAACAAAGCTCAAGATAAACAATGACCTATACAACAAAGCTCAAGATAAACAATGGCCTATACAACAAAGCTCAAGATAAACAATGGCCTGTACAACAAAGCTGAAGATAAACAATGACCTGTACAACAAAGCTGAAGGTAAACAATGGCCTATACAACAAAGCTCAAGATAAAACAAATGACCCGTACAACAAAGCTGAAGATAAACAATGACCTGTACAACAAAGCTCAAGATACACAATGGCCTGTACAACAAAGCTCAAGATAAACAATGACCTGTGCAACAAAGCTCAAGATAAACAATGGCCTATACAACAAAGCTCAAGATAAACAATGACCTGTGCAACAAAGCTGAAGATAAACAATGACCTGTGCAACAAAGCTGAAGATAAACAATGACCTGTACAACAAAGCTGAAGATAAACAATGGCCTGTACAACAAAGCTCAAGATAAACAATGGCCTGTACAACAAAGCTCAAGATAAAGAATGACCTGTGCAACAAAGCTGAAGATACACAATGACCTGTACAACAAAGCTCAAGATAAACAATGGCCTGTACAACAAAGCTCAAGATAAACAATGGCCTGTACAACAAAGCTGAAGATAAACAATGGCCTGTACAACAAAGCTGAAGATAAACAATGGCCTGTACAACAAAGCTGAAGATAAACAATGGCCTGTACAACAAAGCTGAAGATAAACAATGACCTGTACAACAAAGCTCAAGATAAACAATGGCCTGTACAACAAAGCTCAAGATAAACAATGGCCTATACAACAAAGCTCAAGATAAACAATGGCCTGTACAACAAAGCTGAAGATAAACAATGACCTGTACAACAAAGCTGAAGATAAACAATGACCTGTACAACAAAGCTCAAGATAAACAATGGCCTGTACAACAAAGCTGAAGATAAACAATGACCTGTACAACAAAGCTCAAGATAAACAATGACCTGTGCAACAAAGCTGAAGATAAACAATGACCTGTACAACAAAGCTGAAGATAAACAATGACCTGTACAACAAAGCTCAAGATAAACAATGACCTATACAACAAAGCTGAAGATAAACAATGGCCTGTACAACAAAGCTGAAGATAAACAATGACCTGTACAACAAAGCTCAAGATACAAAGCTCAAATGGCCTGTGCAACAAAGCTCAAGATAAACAATGGCCTATACAACAAAGCTCAAGATAAACAATGACCTGTGCAACAAAGCTGAAGATAAACAATGACCTGTGCAACAAAGCTGAAGATAAACAATGACCTGTACAACAAAGCTGAAGATAAACAATGACCTGTACAACAAAGCTCAAGATAAACAAAGGCCTGTACAACAAAGCTGAAGATAAACAATGACCTGTGCAACAAAGCTGAAGATAAACAATGACCTGTGCAACAAAGCTGAAGATAAACAATGACCTGTACAACAAAGCTCAAGATAAACAATGACCTGTACAACAAAGCTCAAGATAAACAATGGCCTATACAACAAAGCTCAAGATAAACAATGGCCTGTACAACAAAGCTGAAGATAAACAATGACCTATACAACAAAGCTCAAGATAAACAATGACCTGTACAACAAAGCTGAAGATAAACAATGGCCTGTACAACAAAGCTGAAGATAAACAATGGCCTGTACAACAAAGCTCAAGATAAACAATGACCTGTACAACAAAGCTGAAGATAAACAATGACTTATACAACAAAGCTCAAGATAAACAATGACCTGTACAACAAAGCTGAAGAAGATAAACAAAGGCCTGTACAACAAAGCTGAAGATGAACAATGACCTGTACAACAAAGCTGAAGATAAACAATGGCCTGTACAACAAAGCTGAAGATACACAAAATGACCTGTACAACAAAGCTCAAGATAAACAATGACCTATACAACAAAGCTCAAGATAAACAATGACCTATACAACAAAGCTCAAGATAAACAATGACCTGTACAACAAAGCTCAAGATAAACAATGGCCTATACAACAAAGCTCAAGATAAACAATGGCCTGTACAACAAAGCTGAAGATAAACAATGACCTATACAACAAACAAAGCTGAAGATAAACAATGACCTGTACAACAAAGCTGAAGATAAACAATGAAGATAAACAATGGCCTGTACAACAAAGCTGAAGATAAACAATGACCTGTACAACAAAGCTGAAGATAAACAATGGCCTGTACAACAAAGCTGAAGATAAACAATGACCTGTACAACAAAGCTCAAGATAAACAATGACCTGTACAACAAAGCTGAAGATAAACAATGACCTATACAACAAAGCTGAAGATAAACAATGACCTATACAACAAAGCTGAAGATAAACAATGAATAATAAAAATGCCAAAAATCTGAAGATAAACAATGGGATTACAACAAAGCTCAAGATAAAGAATATCTGTACAACAAAGCTGTAGATAAACAATGACCTATACAACGGTTTTCGAGATAAACAATGAATAATACGAAACCCATCCTCCCTTTATGGAAACGGGAAAAGTAAAAACGCCAAAAATCTGTAAATAGCAAAAGGCACCACATTAGGTCCTGTTTGATATATCCGAAACGTTTTGATGAAAGATACTGAACGGTTTTCGAGTTGTGCTTCGGAAACGAAACCCAACCCTCCTTTTTGAGACTAAGTCCAAAATGTTTCCATGGGAACCAATAAAAATAAAAATGACCAAAACCTGCAAATAGCAAATTGCACCACTTTAGGTTCTGTTTCATATATCTACCACATTTTGTTTAAAGATATTGAACGGGTTTCGAGTTGTGCTCCGGAAATGAAACCAATCCCTCCTTTTTGAGACTAAGTCCGAATCGTTTCCATGGAAACCAAGAAAAACAAGAAGACAAAGTCATCAATATCCCCCGCAATGGCAAAATACTCTTCATGGACATGTCTACGAGTTATGATTATGTCAAATGTTTTGGCATGTATATAGATAAGTGGAAGGAGAGTACTGAAAGGTTTCAAAGTTCAGGTTTCAGAAAGGAGCACTACCACCAAATTCAGTTGAAGCCAAAAATGTTGCCATGGAAACGCAAAAAATCTTTTATTCAGAAATCCAAAACTACCAAAAGGCACCAGATCACCACTAGACCTACCTATGTATGAAATTTCGTGCTGAAACAATGAACAGTTTTTAAGTTCTGCTCCGGAAAAAAGCACAACCACCAATTTCAGTCTAAGTCAAACTTGTTGCCATGGATATGCAAAAAATATTTTATTCAGAAATCCAAAACTACCAAAAGGCACCAGTACACCACCAGATCTATCTATGTGCCAAGTTTGGTGAAGACATATTGAACGGTTTTAGAGTTCTGCTCCGGAAAAGAGCACTACCACCAATTTCAGTCTAAGTCGAACATGTTGCCATGGAAACGCCCAAGAATATTTAATTCAGAATTCCAAAACTACGGAAAAAGGCACCAGTACACCACCAGAGCCATGTATGTGCCAAGTTTGGTGAAGAAATATTGAACGGTTTTAGAGTTCTGTCCGAAAAGACAAATGTGCATCGGACGGACGGGGAGTCCAACCCCCGCAAAATGCGCTATGGGGATAACAATGAGCATATAAAACAAGAGTCATCAGAAGATGACATATCCCCCGCCTCCACATATTTGAAGAACAAATCATCTGACTTTCGGTCATGTAAGGATTTGTCGACCAATGTAACATAAAGTGCATGAATAAATCGATAATAAACAAACCTACCTCGTTTGTTTGTTATTTATTTATGATATTCAAATATCTGACGGATTAACCTCGTGTTTCACCCGCACAGCAGGCCTCATAGTTCGCTACGCAAAGATCGTGAATGCGGAAGTGACGTCATCTGTTTTCGTTCACTTCATTGGTTCTCCGTAAAACAGAAATCTAATAGCAGTATTCGTGCTATGCTGATATTTTTATAATATAAAGTTGATAAACATCCAGTCCAAAAAGAATATTTGTAATAGTTCCAATAATAATTATTAGAAACTATGGTCGTAATAATTTCATGTCAAAGTTAATCATGATAAGACTTTGCTAGTTACATCACATGTCCAGGCATGTTTCACTCCTCCGGTTCGCGGCTGACAAGGGCACCAAAACTCATCAGAAGATCTCACTACACATACGGAGGTGCACAGCTTGAGGTGGACCCAATGACAGCATGCAGGATGAGTACACTGGGCCCATGACACAGAAATATTCATTGCAGTTTCGAAAATTAAATGAGTATTTTGGAAAATCGTAATAAGAGATGACCCTATCCAGTTTCCATATATATTTTTTTACGACGGCAACGCCACGTGATATGTCATGTGATAATGATACGTCATACCATAAACAAGCAGACGACGCTATACTGAAAAGGTGGAGCTGACGATATTTTAGATATAGCATTTTGATTACATGAAAATTTATGCATTAGTAAACTCGGTTCTAAAACGTAACATTTACATGTGTTTGCAATCATGTACCTTACTAAATTTCACACGAAGCATTTTGTTAGTCAGAGCTGAAGCAGTCGACCTCCTGCTAAAAATAACCTGTCTGGTGACGTAATATCTCGCTAATAACCGCGAGAAATGAACACGCAAACGGCCGACCGAAAACAGATGTTGAACGAAAACAGATGACTCGAGGATACAAGCTTTACCATTTCACAGTTTATCAGTGTTGCTGTGTGTACAGTAAACATGGCAGTAGACTTGTTCAAATTATTTAATATTTTCTTCAGAAGTGTCAATGTAATAAACAGCATTGCTTCTGTTACTGTATGGCTTGTTTGGATCGAATTCCTTTTATTGACAGTATTGTCTCAGCCCTTTTAACGCTCATTCCAGACACAGTGACATTCTGTGACCTATGGTGTTACAGATGACAGTGTGCAGGCTGCCAGCTACAAAAGGAGGATGTATGCTGTCAGTGGGCATATCAGACACACCGGGACTGGCTGCCACTGTCGATCGAGCTGGCACCTATTCACTCGTTGCATCAGGTGTGTAAGTTGGAAATCATTGTATTTCTAAAGTGTTTCAAAACACTTTTGAGACCTAAAAAGTGTAATGTGAAATAAATGAAAATGCCAAAGATAAATTATCAAAATTTTGTATTATTGAGTTTTGATTATTTTTTATTAATGCACATGCATAGACTCTTAGCCTAGCCTATGTGATCAGAGACAGTGATTAGTGTTGACATGGACATAATAGTAGCCTAGCCTATGTGATCAGAGACAGTGATTGTGTTGACATGGTCAAAATAGTAGCCTATGTGATCAGATAGTGATTGTGTTGACATGGTCAAAATAGTAGCCTATGTGATCAGACAGTGATTGTGTAGACATGGGCATATGTCATGATTGTGATGACATATGCAGAGATTTTAAACTGAGCCCTTGAGGAGTCCCTAATCCCGTAGCCCCATTGTGTATACTACTACTGATGTGCATGCAAAATTTGATGAAAATATTGAAATATTGACTTTTAAGTGAGCATTGGACTAATTTCACATTAACGAAAAAAGGCTTGGTGTACAGAGCTTGGTTCGGGAGCTAGGGGATAGCTGTTGTGCGGTTCATGTAGTTCTGCGGGATAGTCCAAGTCCACTTCGAGCATGTAGCCTTTATCCGAATCCGGCGCGATGCTATTCACGTCAATCATCTCGGGCGAGGAGACCCATTCGAATCCCCCGGTGGGGAGATACTGACTCATGGCCCAGCCGTACAGGTTGTTGGCGTCGAGATAGAGGATGTGTTTGGTTGGTTTGCCGGGGTTGTGACCGGGAACGTACTTGTTGTTGGCTTTCGCGTATCGCTTGGATGCCATCGAAATCCCTCCTCGTAGGCCTTTCTCCACGAACAGGTTCATGTCATAATCCGTCAGTAGTTTCAGTTTCACGCAGGTCTTTTTCAACAAGGCGTCCATAGAGAGACCGGGGGAGGAGAAATACCACGCAGGGTCCAGGCCATACTGTTTCGAGCACGTTTTTCAGCCAGCACGTCGGCCAGCAGCAGCACTTCCGTTTGCAAGTACAGATTGTGGTAGTGCCAAATTCCTTGCAGCTCAGTTTGAGGGCGTGCGCGTAATCGTCCTGAGAGATATTGGAATCGGTCAAGTTGCTGTAAAAGCGGTTGATGGGAGGTAATCGCGTCTAGTCGAACTTAGACCAATCGTCCATGTACCCGTAGGGGTAGACGCCCTTCCTCAGCAGCAGAGGTCGAGTCTCGGCGTTGGTGTATCAATTGGTGATGTTGAAGTCGTTCTGGTTGTTGGCGTTCACCAGACTGCCTAGAGATGACAGCAGGAACTGAACGCTATCAGAACGAGAACGAGATGTATTTTTCCATGTTGTTGGGGATGCACGTAATTTTGCTGTTGACCTTCGTGATGGCCTGCATTATCAGGTGAGAATCGTAACCGCGAAGATTGTGAAACACGACGGGGACTTTGATGGTCTTGGGATCGATTTTAAGCTTCAGGTTGCACGCGTTGCGAGTGGCACCTCTGTACTTACCGGTGATGTGTCAGTGATCTTGAACGGTATCATTTTTAAGAAGTCCCCAGCACACATGGCAATATAGAGCTCGTACATGAAGGAACCTGTCCCATTTTGTCAGCGTATGGAAGTAGGGTTTGACAATGCTTTCCTTATTTGTCTCTCTTCGAGTTGCAAACACGCGAGAAATCGTTTTGCCGCATCGGGACCTCTGTAGACCACGGGAGAGTTTGTTTTCCCGTCGGATCGAACGACCATGTACCCGAACCCGCAGGCTTTGTGTTCTTGCGTTTTATGTGAAACGTTTTTCCGGGGACGACGGCGCGACTGTGTCAACGGTTTTGATGAGGGCTTCGAAGTCGGTGTAGATGACGTAGGGCACGGGGTTGTGGTTGAAGAATTTTAGCGTGTTTATATTTTCGTCGGGCATGACTATTTGGATGGCCGTCTCTCCCACGCCTCGGCAATCCTCCCAGTTGGATTCCAGCAGGTCGGCTTGCGTGAAGCCGTGCAGCCACCTTTCGCAGAAGTGTTTTTTTCCCTTATGCTTCGATTGATCGTACAAGAGTCTGTTGAAATATTTTATCCATGTGTAGTGATACTTGTCGCCTTTCTGGAACATGAATATATTGATCGTCTTGCAGTGTTCGTTTGTGAGGGAGCTGATCCTGTGCACTATCGTTTTATTCCCTTTGTGTCCGAAGATATTGATGGCTATGTTGTCGTTCTGTTTTTCGATTTTGGTGACCTGGGAGATGGGGGTGGGTTTGTCTATGCCGTCCCAGTTGATCCCATCGTCTTCGGGATAGCCCGAAAGTCTGTCTGAATGTGCTTTGGCTGGAAACTTCGTGGATCTGATCGCAACCCTCATGCAATCATCGCCTTTGTTTTTTACATTGATCATGGCTTGTTTTTTCTTGTAGTACGGTGGCAGGTCCAGGTACGACCCTCCTTTGAACGGCATGTAGTTCGCTATGTCCAGGTAGACCGTGTCGATCGTGTTCACGACCCAGCCCGAGCCCATGTGCGTGAAGCGTTCCAGGGATTCTAGTATTATTGCAAATGAGGTGTCGATGGACGCGTCGATGGATTTGGGTTGAGTCGCGACTTCTTGCTTGACTCTGAAGTAATGCTGGATGTGCTTGGTGGTGCAGTCTGTCTGCTGTTTATCCAGCGACATTCTCATAATGAGTTGAAATTTGAGGATTCCCAGATCGTTCAGTTCCTCAGATCAGGGGTTGGATGCCGACGTCCATGTTTTTGTCAACGTCCATCCTCCAGCCTCTCAGATACTTACCTATGACGTGCTTCGTCTGCATGAACCGTAGTTCGACAGGTTTGTGTATATATAAAATATATATAAGAAGAAGTTTCTGAAATAATCACACGACACGGATCTTCTCCAACATGTTTCACTTTTATCTTCAGGGAGAAGTGATTACAGTTAAACGGATTATGCTATGACGTCACTTTTTCATGACGTCACAATGCAACTGTATACAAATGTTGTGAAGCGGTGTTGCCATGATGTCACATTGGCGGCTTTAAATTGACAGTACTAGTAGCACAATGAAAACAAGGGAATATTTTAAATTTTATTTCCTTTCCTGCTGCGCATTTGTCGATGTGAGCGTTTAAGGGGACCTGTTTTGGGGTCCTTAATCTGTTGTTTATGGACGCGCATTCTGTCCCTCAAACACTCCGTTTGTCCAATGTATTCTTCATGACACCCTTGGCATATAATAACATAAATAATATGTTTTGCGGAGCAGTCCATGTTGGAGCGTACATGAAATAATTGTTTCCTGTTTTGAAAATATGTGTTTGTTTGAACAACTAAAGAGCCAGATATCAAGAGAGGTTGATTAGTCATGTTTTTGTTGACATTTAACTTCATCTTGAACTTTCATTACTTTATAAGTTTGATTTGATAATTTGCGGTGGGTGATTATGTCACCTTAGTGGCAATGCTTGTTTTTGTGGTGCTTGGCTAAACCACCTTTTCTACCGGTGGCGACTTGTTTAGGATTCTTGATGGTGGTGACTAGTCGTATCGGTGTCGTTGCTTCCTCCTCTGTCGGCGTTGTCGTTTCCTCCGGATGCGCATCCATGTTGTATATTATTATCATTATTATTTTTTTCATCTTTAAATTGACAATGCTTTGCCGTGATGATCGCCGCGGTCACAGGAGCTAAACACATGCCGTATCTGTGGTATAGCACACAGCTGACGGCGCTCAAAGCGTGGTCGATGAACGAATATTTCTCGAGATCTTCCCACAGATAAAGTCGACGTTCCCAGCGGAATGGGAAGGAAGTACGACGCTAAGCCGGTGTAGATCTGCGTTATGACAGACCCTATGGTTTTCGTCATCTGGCTTCTTATTTTGCGTACAGCTTGTCGATTTTTTTGGATGGCATTTTGTGAATCTTATCGGGTTTGTGGTCGCCCCCACCACCCAAGTATTGTTTGGCTTTGCTGCTGACCGCGAGAGCCACCAGTCTCTCTCGCTTGTCGTTTTTATTATTATTATCATCATCCAACATTTGTTTGAGCAGTTCGTTGCACTCCATCTTATAATCGATCTCATGAATAAACACACGAGAAAACCGCCGCCTCTGTCGACGCTTAGCCAGTCGCCATGGTGGTAGTCAACTGATATGCCGAATTTAACTAAACCTGCAAGATTACGACGGCGCATCTAACAAAACAACAACTTTCGCGTAAGGACCGAACTCGGTGATGCTAGCTGCCGATCTGAGATAATTGCCTGCCGCTTAGAGAAGCGCTGGACTAAATCGAAAAAATTGGTCACGCACTCAAACGAACCCTGATAGCCAGCTCCATTACAGCCAGCTCTGTTACAGTTAACTCTGTTACAGTCAGCTCTAAACAACTCTGTAACAGAGCTAACTGTAACAGAGCTGACTGTACCAGAGCTGACTGTAATGGAGTTGGCTGTAACAGAGCTGACTGTAATGGAGCTGGCTGTAACAGAGCTGGCTGTAACAGAGCTGACTGTAACAGCTAACTGTAACAGAGCTGGCTGTAATGGAGTTGGCTGTAACAGCTGACTGTAACATAGCTGGCTGTAATGGAACTGACTAATGGAGTTGGCTGTAACGGAGCTGGCTGTAACAGAGCTAGTTGTAACAGAGCTAGTTGTAACAGAGCTGACTGTACCAGAGCTGACTGTAATGGAGTTGGCTGTAACAGAGCTGACTGTAATGGAGTTGGCTGTAACAGCTGGCTGTAATGGAGTTGGCTGTAACGGAGCTTGCTGTAACAGAGCTGACTGTAATGGAACTGACTAATGGAGTTGGCTGTAACGGAGCTGGCTGTAACAGAGCTAGCTGTAACAGAAATGACTAATGGAGCTTGCTGTAACAGAGCTAACTGTAACAGAGCTGACTGTAATGGAGCTGACTAACAGAGCTGACAAATGGAGTTGGCTGTAACAGAGCTGACTGTAATGGAGCTGGCTGTAACTGAGTTGGCTGTAACAGACGTGCTGTAACAGAGCTGGCTGTAACAGTGCTGGCTGTAACAGAACTGACTGTAACAGAGCTGACTGTAACATACCTGCTGTAACAGGCCTGCTGTAACAGAGCTGGCTGTAACAGACCTGCTGTAACAGAGCTGACTGTAACAGAGCTGGCTGTAACAGCTGACTGTAACATAGCTTGCTGTAATAGAACTTACTGTAATTACTGTAAGCTGGCTGTAATGGATTTGACTGTAACAGAGCTGGCTGTAGGAGCGCTGTAGATGGCTGTAACAGAGCTAGTTATAACAGAGCTAGCTGTAACAGAAATGACTATAATGGAGTTGGCTGTAACAGAGCTGGTTGTAACAGAGCTAGTTGTAACAGAGCACCTAAGCGTCGCTCAACGCCACACGCGCACCCAATGGTCGCAAGAAATTGAATTGATTCTGCTCTGTTACAGCCAGCTCCGTTACAGCCAACTCCATTACAGTCAGCTCTTTTACAGCCAAATCCATTACAGTCAGCTCTGTTACAGCCAAATCCATTACAGTCAGCTCTGTTACAGCCAGCTCCGCTACAGCCAACTCCATTACAGTCATCTCTGTTACAGCCAAATCCATTACAGCCAGCTCTGTTATAGCCAGCTCTGTTACGGGGTTAATTTCCATTACAGTCAGTTCCATTACATTAAAGTTGTTACAGTCAGCTCTGTTACAGCTTGCTGTAATAGAACTGACTGTAATGGAGTTGGCTGTAATAGAGCTGGCTATAATGGAGTGGGCTGTAACAGAGCAGTTACAAACTTTCCAATCCTTATTTCAGTTCGTCAATGTCCTTCTGGAATCATGGGATGTAATAGTTGTAATATTGTGCTGCAGGCTGATGTCTCGAACCCACTATGAAGTCCTCGGTGTTGAGAAATCTGCCACCACAGAAGATATTCGGAAAGCCTTCCTTCAACTCTCTAAACAGGTATGTGTGAATTATGTATATTCTGTACAAACCATGTATGTGTTTAATCCATGTGAACCATGTAGGTATGTTCTGTATGAACTGTTGTATGTTCTGGTATGAACTGTAATGCGGTATGTTCTGTATGAACTGTACGCGGTATGTTCTGTATGAACTGTACGCGGTATGTTCTGTATGAACTGTAATGCGTATGTTCTGTATGAACTGTAATGCGGTATGTTCTGTATGAACTGTAATGCGGTATGTTCTGTATGAACTGTACGCGGTATGTTCTGTATGAACTGTACATGTATGTTCTGTATGAACTGTAATGCGGTATGTTCTGTATGAACTGTACGTGTATGTTCTGTATGAACTGTAATGCGGTATGTTCTGTATATGTATGAACTGCGCGTACTGTATGAACTGTAATGCGGTATGTTCTGTATGAACTGTACGCGGTATGTTCTGTATGAACTGTAATGCGGTATGTTCTGTATGAACTGTATGCGGTATGTTCTGTATGAACTGTTATGTTCTGTATGAACTGTAACGCGGTATGTATGTTCTGTATGAACTGTAACGCGGTATGTTCTGTATGAACTGTACGTATGTTCTGTATGAACTGTACGCGGTATGTTCTGTATGAACTGTACGTGTATGTTCTGTATGAACTGTACGTATGTTCTGTATGAACTGTACGCGGTATGTTCTGTATGAACTGCACGCGGTATGTTCTGTATGAACTGTACGTATGTTCTGTATGAACTGTACGCGGTATGTTCTGTATGAACTGTACGCGGTATGTTCTGTATGAACTGTACGCGGTATGTTCTGTATGAACTGTACGCGGTATGTTCTGTATGAACTGTATGCGGTATGTTCTGTATGAACTGTATGCATGTATGTTCTGTATGAACTGTACGTGTATGTTCTGTATGAACTGTATGCTCTGTATGTTCTGTATGCTCTGTATGAACTGTAATGCGGTATGTTCTGTATGAACTGTACGCGTATGTTCTGTATGAACTGCGGTATGTTCTGTATGAACTGTATGTATGTTCTGTATGAACTGCACGTATGTTCTGTGTGAACCATGTATGTATGTTCTGTATGAACTGCAGTGGAAATAAGCAATATGCACAGCTATGCTATGTGACTGAAAACCTAATCAACTAAAATTTTGAAACTTACCTTTGGCCTAAACAAGGAACTAAACGTGATAACTATTTTCAGTGAGAAAATATGGATGATTTACAAGGAACTAAACATGATTCTCTTAAAGATGAAAGTGAACTTTTAAATGAAACTGCTAAATACCACTAATTGTCTAATGTCTGACCCTGCAATATTCTAACAACAAGTTCAACAATCTAACAATCTAACACCACAATAGCCAAATGAACCTACAAGTCAAAATACCTAAAAAACTAATAGGACGAATGGAACGAAAGGAGCGAATAGAAAGAAATAGCAATGAATGGTCCAGTGTATCAGTGACCACTGTCTTATATATGCAAACCTACTTCGCATTTCACATGCACTCATCTCCGGGTGTATTCAGGCGATGCGTCTACTATGCACTGGGTGCGTTTGGGTAAACAGTTTTAAATGAAAAACCAAAAATGTCTCAGAACTGAGTGTATATGTTCTGTATCAACTGGGTGTGTATATTCTGTATGAACCTGGTTTTTGTATTCTGTATGAACCTGGTTTTTGTATACTGTATGAACCTGGTTTTTGTATTCTGTATGAACCTGGTATTTGTATTCTGTATGAACCTGGTATTTGTATTCTGTATGAACCTGGTTTTTGTATTCTGTATGAACCTGGTATTTGTATTCTGTATGAACCTGGTTTTGTATTCTGTATGAACCTGGTATTTGTATTCTGTATGAACCTGGTATTTGTATTCTGTATGAACCTGGTATTTGTATTCTGTATGAACCTGGTATTTGTGTTCTGTATGAACCTGGTATTTGTATTCTGTATTCTGTATGAACCTGTATGAACCTGGTATTTGTATTCTGTATGAACCTGGTATTTGTATTCTGTATGAACCTGGTATTTGTATTCTGTATGAACCTGGTATTTGTATTCTGTATGAACCTGGGGGTTTTGTATTAACCTGGTTTGCATGTTCTGTATGCTGGTTTTGTATTCTGTATGAACCTGGTCCCTGCTGTTGAACCTGGGTTTTTATTAGACACGCAGGGCTGCAAGGTCCCTGCAGTTCAAATTGGAGACACGTTTGTCCAACCAGAAAGCCATGCTCGAAATCTAGGTGTCATCTTTGACTCAACATGAAGCATGGACAATCACGTCAGTAACATCTGCAAATCTGGTTATTACCACATAAGGAACATCAGACAGATTAGCAGGTACATGGACACACCATCAGTAAAATGCCTACAGTCCGTTTGAGTCAGAAACGGACCGATGAATTGCAAATTGTATCATTGTACAAAATTGCCACATAAATATGAATAGTACACATGTTTCTCATTTACTAATACCCAACAGCTTTCTTATATTTGAAAATTTTCCGGACTCCACCAAAAAAGTTCTTTAAGAAACTATCATTAAAATTTTGACACAGTTCACTATTTGTTACGAGGGAGGAGTGCAGAGAAAGGGACAGCCAGGTGCGCGAGAAAGGATGGAGACGGCACAGCACAGGCTAATGAATCAATAACTTGGTGGGCACTTGTGCACGTGCTTCTCTAACACCTGGCTGTAGGGTCCATTATGAAAGTTGTGTTTGGGGGAGTTGGAATGAAGGAAGAGGAACGTGAGGAACACATGGGGATCACCCAGACCATGCTGTGTCAGTAGGGTCCATTATGAAAGTTGTGTTTTGGGGAGTTGGTATGAAGGAAGAGGAACGTGAGGAACACATGGGGATCACCCAGACCATGCTGTGTCAATAGGGTCCATTATGAAAGTTGTGTTTGGTATATGAAGGAAGAGGGTGAGTTGGTATGAAGGAAGAGGGTTGTGTTTTGGGGAATGGTATGAGGAACGAATTGAGGAACACATGGGGATCACCCAGACCATGCTGTGTCAATAGGGTCCATTATGAAAGTTGTGTTTTGGGGAGTTGGTATGAAGGAAGAGGAACGTGAGGAACACATGGGGATCACCCAGACCATGCTGTGTCAATAGGGTCCATTATGAAAGTTGTGTTTGGGGGAGTTGGTATGAAGGAAGAGGAACGTGAGGAACACATGGGGATCACCCAGACCATGCTGTGTCCATAGGGTCCATTATGAAAGTTGTGTTTGGGGGAGTTGGTATGAAGGAAGAGGAACGTGAGGAACACATGGGGATCACCCAGACCATGCTGTGTGAGGAACACATGGGGATCACCCAGACCATGCTGTGTCAGTAGGGTCCATTATGAAAGTTGTGTTTGGGGAGTTGGTGAAGGAAGAGGAACTTTTGGGAGTTGGTATGGAGTTGGTGTCCATAGGGTCCATTATGAAAGGAAGAGGAACGTGAGGAACACATGGGGATCACCCAGACCATGCTGTGTCAGTAGGGTCCATTATGAAAGTTGTGTTTGGGTGAGTTGGTATGTTTTGGGAAGGTAAGAGAAACGTGAGGAACACATGGGGATCACCCAGACCATGCTGTGTCAATAGGGTCCATTATGTCCATTAAAAAGTTGTGTTTGGGGGAGTTGGTATGAAGGAAGAGGAACGTGAGGAACACATGGGGATCACCCAGACCATGCTGTGTCAATAGGGTCCATTATGAAAGTTGTGTTTGGGGGAGTTGGTATGAAGGAAGAGGAACGTGAGGAACACATGGGGATCACCCAGACCATGCTGTGTCAATAGGGTCCATTATGAAAGTTGTGTTTTGGGGAGTTGGTATGAAGGAAGAGGAACGTGAGGAACACATGGGGATCACCCAGACCATGCTGTGTCAGTAGGGTCCATTATGAAAGTTGTGTTTGGGTGAGTTGGTATGAAGGAAGAGGAACGTGAGGAACACATGGGGATCACCCAGACCATGCTGTGTCCATAGGGTCCATTATGAAAGTTGTGTTTGGGTGAGTTGGTATGAAGGAAGAGGAACGTGAGGAACACATGGGGATCACCCAGACCATGCTGTGTCCATAGGGTCCATTATGAAAGTTGTGTTTTGGGGAGTTGGTATGAAGGAAGAGGAACGTGAGGAACACATGGGGATCACCCACCATGCTGTGTCCATACCATGTTGGTATGAAGGAAGAGGAACGTGAGGAACACATGGTGATCAAGACCATGGGTCCATTATGAAAGTTGTGTTTTGGGGAGTTGGTATGAAGGAAGAGGAACGTGAGGAACACATGGGGATCACCCAGACCATGCTGTGTCCATAGGGTCCATTATGAAAGTTGTGTTTTGGGGAGTTGGTATGAAGGAAGAGGAACGTGAGGAACACATGGGGATCACCCAGACCATGCTGTGTCCATAGGGTCCATTATGAAGGGGTTGTGTTTTGGGGAGTTGGTATGAAAAGTTGTGAACACATGGGATCACCCAGACCATGCTGTGTCCATAGGGCATGAAAGTTGTGTTTTGGGGGAAGAGGAACGTGAGGAACACATGGGGATCACCCAGACCATGCTGTGTCCATAGGGTCCATTATGAAGGGGTTGTGTTTTGGGGAGTTGGTATGAAGGAAGAGGAACGTGAGGAACACATGGGGATCACCCAGACCATGCTGTTTCCATAGGGTCCATTATGAAGGGGTTGTGTTTGGGGGAGTTGGTATGAAGGAAGAGGAACGTGAAGGATGCTAATATTCATAAAAAATATTATATAATCTGTAATTGTGCAGAATTTATGCAAAAATTGTTTTTGTTTATACTGCTGAATATAGCTGTTTTAGGGCTGCTGAATTCAGCAGGGACTGGACTAGTGTGACCCAAAGATACTGTGTGAAGGTCCAGATAAACATCAAGCAAAATACTTATTGTTTAAAACTTATCCTATCTCACTGTATGCTCTTCTTTCTCTTACTTCGACCTTGGACTGGAAACATGCTGTAAGCAGAGTTGAACAAATCTTCTGGCCTCTCTCCCACCCGATCACTCCCCACCGCTCCCATTACCGGACACCTCAGCAGTCCCTTGAAAGCATGCAGGGCGCTGAGGCCTGTCACATGACACCCCTCTCTTGTCATCCTCTTTCTTGTCGCCCGCGTGTGTAGACATGTATAAGCTGTCTCTGTCTGCTACTCTGATTTGCTACATTATGGGGAAAGTAATCTGTGTCATTGGTCTCAACAGTAGAGTAGCAGACAGAGACAGGTGGACATCTTCAGAGGGTCCCCCCGACTTCCAAGGAATCCACGCAGGATCGTCCCTTCAAGATTACCCGGCGCTATTCACCTTCACTTAATGTGGACTTCTTAGACACCCCGTTTGACTCATACTTTAGTGAAACTTACGACGTCTTTTTCATCCTGATCCGTTCAGCCAAGATGACAGATAGGCCGTTACTCCCACTTAGTTCAACGATCCCATTCAGTTCGGCGCTTCAACCTAGTTTGACGATCCCATTCGGTTCAGCGCTTCAGCCCAGTTCAGCGCTCCCGTTCAGTTCAGCGCTTCAGCCCAGTTCGGCGCTCTTGTTTGGTTCAGAGCTTCAGCCCAGTTCGGCGCTCCCACTCAGTTCAACAATCTCGGTGATACCCACCAGTTCAGCAATCCCTGTCAGTGCGTCTATACCTACCAGTTCGGCGATCCCTGCCAGTGCGGCCATCCTTTTCTAGTTTGGTGATCCCTGCCAATTCGGTGACTTCTGTTGGGATTCATCACCAACCACCTTTCGCAATCCCTCTTTAGACTGTGAACTGATATATGTTCCACTAACCCCTTTTGTCTCGGACACTTTGACTCAGCCTTCGAATTTCACGTTAGGTTCGGCGAACCTGTCTGCTTTGGTGATCCTGTTCATTACCACCTATTCATTGCAAGCTACATCTAGAGCGCTGCAGCTGAACCTACCCATGTCTTGAGATTATTCCCATGATATACAACTTCACCTTCTCATGGATTTTGACTTGATAGTGCAAGTCATGGCAACGGTTTTGAAGCAAGTACGGCAACTAGATGCGTTTCTGTATTAGTATCATCAAGTCCACCACCGAGTTCACTACGGTAATCTCACCAGTCAATGTTTGCCGATTCCCCTCTCCTTCCTCCATAGCGAGACTCCTTCATTATATCTACACTCAGCTGGAGCTACTAACTACCGATTATAATTACCGCTGACGAGCGACACGTTCGGCGAATCTACCCCTCAGCGCTGATACAAGCTCTACAGACCACTACTAATGGGGATCCTCTTGGTTGACATTCTACGACTAGCTTTTAACCAACATTATGATACACATCACTCAGATTCTGCTTCGATGAGGCATCATGTTTGAGGCTTACATTGACGACTGCCTACTAGCTCAAGAGATCGACATTTCCTCCTACAACTTCTACACTGACTGGAGGTACACTGGTAGTTCTTTGGCACTCGATAGTTGACTACGCTGGTTACTATACCGTTTCACTGTATTATCACATGGGAAATATTCGTGTGTGTGAAGTTTCAACTATATATTCAACAGAATGCAATGACTGCGCTCTGGATTTATACCATGCACAGGGAATTACTGCATTCTGCAAATTACAGAAGAGAGCAGTGAGGCGCGAGCCAGGCAGTGTTATAGCGAGATAGCTTGGTAGACGGCCACTCTGGCTTCTATACAGTTTTCCACTGTATATCACATGGAGTATTAGTGTGTGTGGAGTTTTGACAACATATTCGACTGTATGCTATGCCTGCGCACTGCATCTACAGGGGACTACTACATCTGCAAAACAACGACTAGCAGTGAAGTGCAAGACAGGCAGCTTTATACCGAGACAGTGAGACAGCGATCTTGTTTTAGTGCGGCATTCAAGATCGCCAAATCAACGCATCCCTCCGCTAGTAATTATTGTTTTCTAATGTCAGCCCTAGTTTTCCCGTCCAGAGTTTTACCATGACTATGGTCGATCCAGAGGTTTCTACGGCCGTTCCTATGGAACGCTGATCACCAAGCGTCGATCCTTCTCCCTTCATTGATTCTTCACACTGGTGACTCGACGAATAGAATGTCAGCAGGAGAGTTTACTTGACACTGCTTCTTTGTAGACACATCACTTGAAGGATGCGGAAGTTCATCTTCACGATCTACTAGTAGCAGGACTGTGGTCATGCGACTTACTGACCCTCCACATTAATGAGCTGGAGTTCAAGGCAGTTATCTCAGCTATAACTCTTTGGCCTACTTTCGACTGGTCTTCTCATATGATCAGAGAACTTGAGTACTCGGTGGTGGTGTGGTACATCTATCATCTGGGTTCTACATCTAGCTACCTCACCAGTTAGGATGGCTCATCAATTTTAAGAAGTCATAACTGATCCCGACGCTATGCCTCCAGTTTATCGACATGATGTATGTTCCCCAAGACCGGTTTGTCAAGATTCAAAGACTTGTTCCCCTAGCACTGACTCAACCCCGAAGTCTTCATCAGTTGCAAGAGCTCCTTGGTCTGCTGACGTCAGCCCAAGCTCCTACCCTCGGGACAACTGCAACTTCGGCCGTTACAACAGTTCCTCTGACCTTATATCAGGATCGGCGATCCCCACACAGCAAGCCTACTACCTTCAATGCTTCATTCCCATCTACAGTGGTGGCTGGTAGAATCGAATTGTAGAATGACAAGAGAGAGGTGTCATGTGACCAGCCTCAGCGCCCTGCATGCTTTCCAGGGACTGCTGAGGTGTCCCGGAATGGGAGTGGTGGGGAGTGATCGGGTGGGAGAGAGGCCAGAAAATTTGTTTAAGTCTGCTTACAGCACGTTTCCACTCCAAGGTTGAAGTAAGAGAGAGAAGTGCATCCCTTGAGATAGGATAAGTATTATAAATATACAATTTATACTTAAAATTTCCAAATTTGTTTCAGCTGCATCCTGATGTTAACAGGAATGATCCTAAGACTCATGAAAAATTTGTAAAATTAAATGCAGCATATTCTGTGCTGAGCAAGTCATCTGATCGCCATGACTATGATGTGAGCCTGTCTTCACAACTCCACCACAAGCACATGAGTGGCCCTGGAACTCCTCCATATGGCCCCTCTCCAAATGGGTGAGTCCAGCAGGTGGAATTCCTGTAGCATTGGTGACGTCAGTTCACTGTAGCTTCCCGTGGGATAGGGTGGTTAGTAGCTTCCTGTGGGATGGGGCTATTGGTAGCTTCCTGCGGGATCGGGCTATTGTTAGCTTCCTGTGGGATGGGGCTATTGGTAGCTTCTTATGGGATGGGGTTATTGGTAGCTTCCTGTGGGATAGGGTTATTGGTACCTTCCTGTGGGATGGGGCTATTGGCAGCTTCCTGTGGAATAGGGTTATTGGTACCTTCCTGTGGGATGGGGCTATTGGTAGCTTCCTGTGGAATAGGGTTATTGGTACCTTCCTGTGGGATGGATCTATTGGTAGCATCCTGTGGAATAGGGTTATTGGTACCTTCCCGTTGGATGGGGTTATTGGCAGATATGTACAGGATGGGGTTATTGGGAGGTATCTGTAGGATGGGGTAATTGGCAGCTATTAGCAGGATGGGATTCTTGGCAGCTACCTTCAAGATTGGTTATTGGCAGCTATTTGTAGGATGGGGTTATTGGCAGCTATCTGCAGGATGGGGTTATTGGCAGCTATCTGTAGGATTGGGTTATTGGCAGCTATCTGTAGGATTGGGTTATTGGCAGCTATCTACAGGATGGGGTTATTGGCAGCTATCTGCAGGATGGGTTTATTGGCAGCTATCTGCAGGATGGTGTTATTGGCAGCTATTTGTAAGATGGGGTTATTGGCAGCTATCTGCAGGATGGGTTTATTGGCAGCTATCTACAGGATGGGCTTTTAGGCAGCTATCTGCAGGATGGTGTTTTGGGCAGCTATCTGTAGGATGATGTTTTGGGCAGCTATCTGCAGGATGGTGTTATTGGCAGCTATCTACAGGATGGTGTTATTGGCAGCTATCTGCAGGATGGTGTTATTGGCAGCTATCTGCAGGATGGTGTTATTGGCAGCTATCTACAGGATGGTGTTATTGGCAGCTATCTGTAGGATGGTGTTTGTTCTTGCTACAAAGTGTAAGCTTTTGGTAGATTCATGTTGGGTGGTGTTTGTTCGGGCTACGAAGTGTAAGTTGTTGGTAGATTCATGAATCACATTGTGTAAGTATATAAAAGATATTTCACTGCATATTTTAGCCTACATGGTTAATACAAGACTTTATGTGCTTTTTTACCATTATCTATCTCCATGTTTGATATGATAGCTGACCAGTGTTGGGTCATGACGGTGTCATGCTTGTTGATGTTGCAGGTACACTGATGGGGAGCCCTTCTGGGACGAGACCATCTGGCACATGCGCAACCATAGCAAGGACGCAGCGTATGAAGACAAGTCTTACTATGGAATCCGTGGCATCAAGAAAGTGTCCAACTTCTCCATTGTTGCCTGCTGCATGGGTCTGATGTTGATAGGGGCTGTGGTTCACTACTTTGCCATTGTGTAAGTTCCATGTTCTGAATTACTGTTTTGGACATCTCCAAGGTAATTTATTATCTTCTGATTTCACCTGCTTCAAATTCATCTTGACATTCTTTACTAGAGTGTCATGTCATTGATCTTTGTGAGTCTTCTGTCTGTCCGTCAATCCATGAGGCTATCAGCCTGGGAGCACCAAACTTCTCACAAACTTCCTTTGTTGTCCTACATGTCGCTGCATACCTACTTTTATTGTTTACAAATATTTTCAGCACAGCCTTTGTGCCAAACTCTTTTTTGAAGGTGATTCGTCTAGTATTGGTAGTTTCAAGTTTTCATGACTTCTGTAGTTTTATAAATCAGTTGTCAAAATGGCCTTCTGCAACACCTCCAGTGCTGTTGAAACAACTTGAGGCATAGTGCTGTACAAACAATGGCTCACTGGTACTATGAGCATGTGTTACTGGTATTATGAGCATGTGTTACTGGTATTATAAGCAGTATGCTCATGATACCAGTAACACATGCTCATTAAACCAGTAACACCAGTAACACATGTTCATGATACCAGTAATACCAGTAACACATGCTCATAAAACCAGTAACACCAGTAACACATGCTCACAATACCAGTAACACATGCTCATAATACAAGTAACACCAGTAACACATGCTCATAAAACCAGTAACACCAGTATAACATGCTCATAAAACCAGTAACACCTGCTCATAATACCAGTAACACATGCTCATAAAACCATCAACACCAGTAACACATGCTCATAATACCAGTAAAACCAGTAACATATGCTCATGATACCAGTAACACCAGTAACACATGCTCATAATACCAGTAACATATGCTCATGATACCAGTAACACATGCTCATGATACCAGTAACACCAGTAACATATGCTCATAATACCAGTAACACCTGCTCATAATAACATATGCTCATAATACCAGTAACACATGCTCATGATACCAGTAACACCAGTAACATATGCTCATAATACCAGTAACATATGCTCATGATACCAGTAACACCAGTAACACATGCTCATAATACCAGTAACATATGCTCATAATACCAGTAACACCAGTAACACATGCTCATGATACCAGTAACACATGCTCATGATACCAGTAACACCAGTAACACATGCTCATAATACCAGTAACATATGCTCATAATACCAGTAACATATGCTCATGATACCAGTAACACATGCTCATAAAACTAGTAACACCAGTAACACATGCTCATAAACCAGTCTCACATGCTCATAATACGAGTAACGCATGCTCATAAAACCAGTAACACCAGTAACACATGCTCAAAGCACCAGTAACCCATGTTCAGAAAACCAGTAACACCAGTAACATAATGCTCATGACACCAGTAACACATGCTCATAACACCAGTAACGCATGCTCATAAACCAGTCACACATGCTCATAATACCAGTAAGACATGCTCATAAAACCAGTAACACCAGTAACACATGCTCATAATACCAGTAAGACATGCTTATAAAACCAGTAACACCAGTAACACATGCTCAAAGCACCAGTAACACATGCTCATTAAACCAGTAACACCAGTAACATAATTCTCATGACACCAGTAACACATGCTCATAATACCGGTAACGCATGCTCATAAACCCAGTATCACCAGTAACACATGCTCATTATACCAGTAAAACCAGTAACATATGCTCATGATACCAGTAACACATGCTCATAAAACTAGTAACACCAGTAACATATGCTCATAATGCCAGTAATACATGCTCATAATACCAGTAACACCAGTAACATATGCTCATGATACCAGTAACACATGCTCATAAAACCAGTAACACCAGTAACACATGCTCATAAACCCAGGAACACCAGTAACACATGCTCATAAAACCAGTAACACCAGTAACACATGCTCTTGATACCAGTATCACCAGTAACACATGCTCATGATACCAGTAACACCAGTAACACATGCTCATAAAACCAGTAACACCAGTAACACCTGCTCATGATACCAGTAACACCAGTAACACATGCTCTTGATACCAGTAACACATGCTCATAAAACTAGCAACACCAGTAACACATGCTCATAATACCAGTAAGATATGCTCATAAAATCAGTAACACCAGTATAACATGCTCATAATACCAGTAACACATGCTCATAAAACCAGTAACACCAGTATAACATGCATTTAAAACCAGTAACACCTGCTCATGATACCAGTAACACATGCTCATAATACCAGTAAGATATGCTCATAAAATCAGTAACACCAGTATAACATGCTCATGATACCAGTAACACATGCTCATAAAACTAGTAACACCAGTAACACATGCTCATAATACCAGTAAGACATGCTCATAAAACTAGTAACACCAGTAACACCTGCTCATGATACCAGTAACACATGCTCATAAAACTAGTAACACCAGTAAGACATGCTCATAATACCAGTAAGACATGCTCATAAAATCAGTAACACCAGTATAACATGCTCATAAAACCAGTAACACATGCTCATAATACCAGTAACACATGTTCATAAAACCAGTAACACCAGTATAACATGCTCATAAAACCAGTACCACATGCTCATAATACCAGTAACACATGCTCATAAAACCAGTAACACCAGTATAACATGCTCATAATACCAGTAACACATGCTCATAAAACCATCAACACCAGTAACACATGCTCATAATACCAGTAACACCAATAACGCATGCTCATGATACCAGTAACACATGCTCATAAAACCAGTTACACCAGTAACATGCTCATGATACCAGTAACATCAGTAACGCATGCTCATGATACCAGTAACACCAGTAACACATGCTCATAAACCATCAACACCAGTAACACATGCTCATGATACCAGTAACATATGGTTCGAATAATAGTAAAACATGCTTTTTAAAGCATTAAAAGTGTATTTTCTTGACAGATATTTTCGTTTTTTTCAAGCATATTTGAACGTACACTGAAATCACTGGGCTGTATAATCTGTGATGTAGTGTTTGTGAAGCCTGTTTCACATCTAACAGTACACTGAGATCACTGGGCCGTAGCGAAGTGTGATATCGTGTTTGTGAAGCCTGTTTTTACATCTAACAGTACACTGAGGTGTGATATCGTGTTTGTGAAGCCTGTTCACATGTAACAGTACACTGAGATCACTGGGCCGTACGAGGTGTGATATCGTGTTTGTGAAGGCTGTTTCACATCTAACAGTACACTGAGATCACTGGGCCGTACGAAGTGTGATATCGTGTTTGTGAAGCCTGTTTCACATCTAACAGTACACTGAGATCACTGGGCCCATACGAAGTGTGATATCGTGTTTGTGAAACCTGTTTCACAGGTAACAGTACACTGAGATCACTGGGCCGTACGAAGTGTGATATCGTGTTTGTGAAGCCTGTTTCACATCTAACAGTACACTGAGATCACTGGGCCATATGAAGTGTGATATCGTGTTTGTGAAGCCTGGTTCACATCTAACAGTACACTGAGTACGAAGTGTGATATTGTGTTTGTGAAGCCAGTTTCGCATGTAACGGTACACTAATGGATACTGTTGTGTAATCATCTGTTACTAGGTTGGTCCCAACAGATTTTGTAAGGTAAATAGAGATTATTAACCTCGTGCATTTCTGTATCATTAATATCATATATTAGGAATAAAAATTGTATTATGCAAGCCTATTTTTTATTCCTTATATATGATATTAATGATACGGAAACACACAACGTTAATAATCTCTTTATCATATAATGTTATTCTTATAATTACTCTAAAAAAAGAAGCAAATCATACAGGAATTTATATGAAGAGAATCGAGCATTCGCGAAAGAATACTTGGCCATACACTACGGTGAAGGTCGTTCATGACGGCGGCATATAGTTTTGTGACTAGTCACTTTTCCAGTGCAACCATAACTCATGCTTAAAATAAGATCTTTCTGTCTAAAGAGAACAACAAAATCAGGCAGGGTTTTCCTGGCAGTGTTTCTATTTTCATTGCGGGTAATCACCTCATCAATATAAGTTTCTGATACCTGACGGAATCAATTTGTCGTCTGTATTGTGATCGATAGATCGAAATCCTTGGCTGGTACTTTTCTTAGACGATCGCTCGTGCCTCATAATCTGTACCTTCAATTTGAACGAAGTATTCCGTTTCATATTTTCTGAAGTCAATTACTGCAGTAACGATTCCAGAACCTGTCATCAAGTCTTACAGAATCACCAATTTTAATAATGGGGGCAGCCATGTTTGTTTACAAACTCGTCCACGCAATGTAAACTCGCGACAGGCGTCATCAATGAAATGTTAACGTTTTAGGATTCGCATGGTGTGTATGGAGTTTTGTGAAAGTAGTTCGTGGATTGACGTAATTTGCATAGTTATCAGATTTGGATACCAAGTTTATCAGATTGCTTTATTGCACCGATAACACCCTCCATTAGAAGATAATGTCTTGTATTGTCTGTTGCAGAAAAACTACGACTCTACACAAAAACCATCTGGATGCCAGGGACATGAAGTTTCATGCAATGTACTCTCAAGCCAAAGAGCAGGCCAGGTCAGTACTCTCTGATTGTAAATGCATGGTAATACACAAGCATGGATGTCTACTGTGAGCATGGACGTCTACTGTAAGCATGGACATCTACTTGAAATAAATGCGTCTCCAAATATATTCAACTCAATATTAATGTGACCTCTTTTTATCCCCTGCAACAACGAAGTTGAGGGGGATATAGAAACGAGTTCCGCCTGTCTGTGCATCAGTGCATCCGTGCGTCCGTCACACTTTGTCCGACACATATCTCCTAAACTATTGGTGATATCTTAATCAAACTTGGTACACATATCAAGCATGATCCCTAGATGTGCCTTTTGGGGGTTAGACCCAGATATGAATTTTATTTTTGGCTGTTTCCATGGAAACATGACTTAGGCTGTGACTATGAGGATGTCATCTTGTCTGGAGCAGATCTCCCAAACTATACATGCTAGCTTCATCAAACTTGGTACACATATCAAGCATGATCCCTAGATGTGCCTTTTGGGGGTAAGACCCAGATATGAATTTTTGGGGGGCTGTTTCCATGGAAGCATGACTTAGGCTGTGACTATGAGGATGTCATCTTGTCTGGAGCAGATCTCCTAAACTATACATGCTAGCTTCATCAAACTTGGTACACATATCAAGCATGATCCCTAGATGTGCCTTTTGGGGGTTAGATCCAGATATGAATTTGTGGGGGGCTGTTTCCATGGAAACATGACTTAGGGTATGACTATGAGGATGTCATCTTGTTGCATTTTCCATGGCTGGAACTATTTTTGAATACCCACATTAATATGGGTATAACTCTAGATACCAATGCAATTCTTTTTGCTATCCAGACCAATATAAATTGCTGAATCACCTAATCCTACTGAGCAAAAGGCATATTTTTCTATGCAGTCTAAAGGGCAACACCCTATCAGTGGATAAGGTTATAAATAACATCAGACAAGTTTATGCCATTGAAAGGTTCACTGCTTTTAAGAACAACAAATATAATGCCTTGGAAAAAAAAAATGGTCTCCACTCACAAATAGTTTTAAACTAAGTAGATGTCATATAGATGTTATATAGTATTGGCTTTCAGCCACAGTTACTGCTCAATGTAAACAATGTACAATCACTGAACTTTGTAGTTCAAACACACCTGTAGAATTTTAATCAGATAAAATATGTATGATTGTTGCGTATTATGTTGACTGCAGCTACTGACTGTCTTCTCTCTGAGAACTTTGTACTACTGCTGAGTCTTAGGACCCAAAGCCTGTAGAATTTTAACCAGATAAAGTACATCTGACGTTGTTTTCTTTTGGCTTATAGCCATATACTTTCCTCCATTTGCAAACACTATGCCTTCTTGAACCTTTGCAGGTCAAATATGTTTACACATCTATAGTCAGATAAAACACACCTGATATGGTAGCCTATTTGCTTATAGTCATGGAGTGACTCTTCTTGCAGACTTTCTGCCATTGTTCTATTATTGTATTTTCAAACATGCTTGTACATCTCTAGTTGACAAATTACATCTGATCGTGTATACTATCCACTTTTGGTATGCTATTAGCCTATAGCCATATGTGCCTTTCTTGAATTTTGCATCTCAAACAATCAGATTAACTATATCTGATTATATGTATCACTGGCATACAACCTTGAAGTTTACTTTCCTCGACAAACCATTGTGCCATTCTTGAACCGGGTCCTACCAGCCTGAGAGTAGTTTTATATAATATTGTATATCTGTACAACCATAGAATTACTTCATTACACTTTCAATGTCCATCTCCTTGACCTTTGTTATGAAGCCAGTACAACATGCTGATGACTGTCCATACCCATGTGATTGTACCCATTATGCTGGAAGAAAAAAAAATGAAAGAAAAAGTTAGGCTTCAACTGAATTTGGTGGTAGTGCTCCTTTCTGGAGCAGATCTTAAAACCTTTCAATACTCTCCTTCCACTTTGCTGTATACACTCCAAAACATTGACATAATCATAATTAGTAGACATATTCATAATGAGCATTTTGCCTTTGCAGGGGATATTGATGAGTTTGTCTTCTTGTTAGACCAAGTTCTAATTATATATTGAAACAATAATTCACTGATTCCTATGTGGAGAAGGTGTCAACAAACATGAAGGCAGACAAGACAAAGTAGTCAGCGCTTGTGTAATCAGTGATGCCTTGCTTGTGTAGTCAGTGATGCCTTGCTTGTGTAGTCAGTGATGCCTTGCTTGTGTAATCTGTGATGCCTTGCTTGTGTAATCTGTGATGCCTTGCTTGTGTAATCTGTGATGCCTTGCTTGTGTAATCTGTGATGCCTTGCTTGTGTAATCAGTGATGCCTTGCTTGTGTAGTCAGTGATGCTTTGCTTGTGTAATCAGTGATGCTTTGCTTGTGTAATCAGTGACGCCTGGTAGCTTGAGTCGTCAGTGATGCTTTGCTTGTGTCGTAAGTGATGCCTTGCTTGTGTAGTCAGTGATGCCTTGCTTGTGTAGTCAGTGATGCCTTGCTTGTGTAGTCAGTGATGCTTTGCTTGTGTAGTCAGTGATGCCTTGCTTGTGTAGTCAGTGATGCCTTGCTTGTGTAATCAGTGATGCCTTGCTTGTGTAGTCAGTGATGCCTTGCTTGTGTAATCAGTAATGCCTTGCTTGTGTAGTCAGTGATGCCTTGCTTGTGTCGTAAGTGATGCCTTGCTTGTGTAGTCAGTGATGCCTTGCTTGTGTAGTCAGTGATGCCTTGCTTGTGTAATCAGTGATGCCTTGCTTGTGTAGTCAGTGATGCCTTGCTTGTGTCGTCAGTGATGCCTTGCTTGTGTAGTCAGTGATGCCTTGCTTGTGTAGTCAGTGATGCCTTGCTTGAGTCATCAGTGATGCACCCGTGAAGATCCGGGGTAGAATAGGTCTTCAGCAACCCATGTGCTTGCCATAAAAAGGCGACTATCTTGTCGTAAGAGGCGACTAACGGGATCGGGTGGTCAGTTTCGCTGACTTGGTTGACACATGTCATCGGTTCCCAATTGCGCAGATCGATGCTCATGCTGTTGATGACTGGATTGTCTGGTCCAGACTCGATTATTTACAGACCGCCGCCATATAGCTGGAAAATTGCTGAGTGCGGCGTAAAACTAAACTCACTCACTCACTCATCAGTGATGCCTTGCTTGTGTAGTCAGTGATGCCTTGCTTGAGTCGTCAGTGATGCCTTGCTTGTGTAGTCAGTGATGCCTTGCTTGAGTCGTCAGTAATGCCTTGCTTGTGTAGTCAGTGATGCCTTGCTTGAGTCGTCAGTGTTGCCTTGCTTGTGTAGTCAGTCATGCCTTGCTTGAGTCGTCAGTGATGCCTTGCTTGTGTGAGTAAAGCTCTAGACCGGAGCAGCGATATCTCACTAAATGTCCATTATGAAATTTCGAGTGTTTGAATGACAAATTCTTACCATTATAAATTTGTCAATACTGCTGCTGAATAAACTGTGATGTGGACAAGACACTTGTTTGTTTTTAGATTTAATGTGGTTTATCTGAGTTCTAAAATCATGCCATCATGTTAACAGAGATTCATTACAATGAGCAACAACACTCGTATTTTTCACATTTAATTCACTCTTATGTTTATTTCATGATTTACAGTATGCATACAGTAATGGCTCAGTCAAACTGTCCATGCCAGTGGGGGTTAATCTTGGGGTGTGTAACTGATTAATGATCTTGCTGTCTGCAGAATCAATGGCAATGAACTTCAACTAAAGATTCTCAAGGCAAGACTGAGTGGGAAACCTGAAGATGTCCAATATGCTGACATAGAGGCATTTGGGGACAAGAAGAAGTGAAGATGTCAGGTGCTGTAATGTTTCTTCTGTTTAGTTTCATATAACACAGGGTTCTAGGGCCTGTAGTTTACTGTGTGTGTAGCTATAGTACACATATAACACAGGGTTCTAGGGCCTGTAGTGTACTGTAAGTGTAGCTATAGTACACAGATAACACAGGGTTGTATGGTCTGTAGTGTACTGTGTGTGTAGCTATAGTACACATACAACACAGGGTTGTAGGGTCTGTAGTGTACTGTGTGTGTAGCTATAGTACAGAGATAACACAGGGTTGTAGGGTCTGTAGTGTACTGTGTGTGTAGCTATATTACACAGATAACACAGGGTTGTAGGGTCTGTAGTGTACTGTGTGTGTAGCTATAGTACACAGATAACACAGGGTTGTAGGGTCTGTAGTGTACTGTGTGTGTAGCTATATTACACAGATAACACAGGTGTTCTAGGGCCTGTAGTGTACTGTGTGTGTAGCTATAGTACACATATAACACAGGGTTGTAGGGTCTGTAGTGTACTGTGTGTGTAGCTATAGAACACAGATAACACAGGGTTGTAGTCTGTAGTGTACTGTGTGTGTAGCTATAGTACACATATAAGCAGGGTGCCCTGGCAGTCAGCAGGTCTGTAGTGTACTGTGTGTGTAGCTCTAGTAGGTCAGCAGCCTACTATATTAACTCTCAAGGTGCCTGGCAGTCAGCAGCCTACTGTATTAACTCTCAATGTGCCTGGCGGTCAGCAGCCTACTGTATTAACTCTCAATGTGCCTGGCGGTCAGCAGCCTACTGTATTAACTCTCAATGTGCCTGGCGGTCAGCTGCCTACTGTATTAACTCTCAATGTGTCAGGCAGTCAGCAGCCTACTGTATTAACTCTCAATGTGCCTGGCGGTCAGCAGCCTACTGTATTAACTCTCAATGTGCCTGGCGGTCAGCAGCCTACTGTATTTACTCTCAATGTGCCTGGCGGTCAGCAGCCTACTGTATTAACTCTCAATGTGCCTGGCGGTCAGCAGCCTACTGTATTAACTCTCAATGTGCCTGGCGGTCAGCAGCCTACTGTATTAACTCTCAATGCCTACTGTCAGGCACTGGCGGTCAGCAGCCTACTGTATTAACTCTCAATGTGCCTGGCGGTCAGCAGCCTACTGTATTAACTCTCAATGTGCCTGGCGGTCAGCAGCCTACTGTATTAACTCTCAATGTGCCTGGCGGTCAGCAGCCTACTGTATTAACTCTGAAGGTGCCTGGCGGTCAGCAGCCTACTGTATTAACTCTCAATGTGCCTGGCGGTCAGCTGTGTACCACTCGGTGCCCTGCTGAGTCATTGAGCAAAAAGTGTTACAACGTTTCTTATTTCTGCACACTGTGTTACCAAATTGTATATACTTCAATCTGAGTCAATCGCCTTTCCTACAGTATTCTTTCAGCAAATCCATAAGGTATATAATATATGTCTTTCCTAACCATTGCCGAATGTGCAAGCATTCTAAATTTTCTACGCCATATAGCTGGAATATTGCTGAGTGCGGCGTAAAACTAAACTCACTCACTCTAAGTTTTCTACTTTTCTACAGAAATCGTAAAATAGATATCTGTGTCATCTTCATCCATCATTTCGATGCAAAAAAATGTCCCAATACATCACGAACATATATGAACTTCACTGGTTTGACTTGTGTGGGGAATTCCCTCTTCTGTGATATCACCCACTCACTATCGGGCAGAAATGTTACTTCACACATCATAAATCTTGTCATTTCTGACACATTAATAAATCACCATTCACCATTTAGTGTACATTTTGAAATCTATATCTAATTACAAAAGCATGTTAGTCATCACAGGTAGTTGTTTTTGGATCAAATTACCAATGATCATTGTAAAAACATTGACAATGACCCTAGAATGTTTTTGAAAATATGCAAACATGAGTGTGAACAAGAACCTTCCGCCATGTTAGGGAGTGTTAATAAATTCATATTAACTGATTATAAATCCATGAATCAGCAAAAACCCAGCATAATATCCAACATTCTGAGGGCAGTGAACATTCTAGCTTTAGAAAGTCAGTCACTAGTTTTGATGTCATGTGTCAGCAACGTTGTACATATTTGGTCATTTCCTTTAGATGATGGAAGAAAGAACCTTATATCCATTCTTCTGCTCACAGTTTCTGTTGTAATACAACATTTGTGGATCTTTTGCTTAATGTTTCCTGCAATTATTTTTAGTCTGGATATCCAAGTCCAGTCCCGAACCTTCCCTTGAACAACGGCGCATTAAACTTTCATTGCAGTATATCACTAAATTACATTCAAATTGACCACACAAAATTAATCTCGATATCCATAACACCATTATCGACTTCTGTCTTTCGCCACCCTGGCAGATGGTGAAACCAGATTCGACCTTACCCTCACTAAACTCAAAGAAGTCTGAAAGCAAATCCCCTTGGTGTTCCAACAGGAATACAACCAGTTGCTTTCAAGTATACCACCCATAGATCTATTTTCACAGACGCATCCAGGATGATGGCCATGTTGCCAGTGCTACAGTCATTGGATCAAAGACTGTCTCCTCTAGAATTCCCGATAATTGCTCCATTTTCACTGCTGAGGCCAAAGCTATCTTCACAGCTTTGACCTATATTAAACAACAGAACCATTCCAAAAATTTCATTGTTTTACAGACTCGTTATCTTGCCTTCAAGCACTTCAAAATGTTACTTAAAGTCACCCTATCATCCTAGACATTTTAGAACTTTACAACGATCTTTCTACTGGCCAATTTGACATACTGGCCGGGTCATGTCGGCATAGTAGGTAACACAAAGGCTGATGCTGCAGCTAAAGCAGCTCTTGACAAGCCCTTATCTCCACTGCTAATCCTGTATAGTGATTTCAAACCCACTATCAAAAGTTATACTCGGGACCTTATGCAAGTAAGGTGGGACACCCAAGTAGGAAGAAATAAACTTCATGAATTTAAGCCAACAATTGGTTATACCTACGTGGGTTGTCAGTCAAGACAAGATGAGGTAATTTTACGATTATGTCGTATTAGCCAAAGTCGGTTTACTCATGACTATCTGCTGAAAAGGGATGGCGATGGACCTCCCATGTGTGTCTCTTGTGGTGAAGTGTTCTCCATCAAGCATATTCTGCTTGACTGTGCGGACTTTTCGACTTGCCGCATTATGATGCGGCAAATCTGAAAGATTGGTTTTCCCGTGTGAGCGGGCATCTCATTGTTAACTACCTGAGGAAAGTTGACCCTTATCATAAACTGTAGTTATGTAATGTGAATAACGAACTGCTTGTGTTCGAATTTGGTGCTATAACAATGTTCATAATATATGCTTTTGAATAACAACTCATTTGGACTTTGAACTTAAAATGTTTTTTACTTCACACTTGAACCTGTCACTATATGGCAGGAATAATGCCGTTGTGACATAAAACCCAACTCAACTCACCCCAGTCGTAATTGTGTAGGGTGGAGGTGTAGCCAGTTGGTTAAAGCATTGGCTTGTCACGCTGAAGACCCTGGTTCGATTCCCCACATGGGTACAATGTGTGAAGCCCAGTTCTGGTGTCCCCTGCCGTGAAATTGCTGGAATATTGCTAAAAGCGGCGTAAAACCATACTCACTCACTCACTCACCAGTAGAAACTATCACCAACATTGCATCATCAACTAAGAGGGGTAACTCTTGCCTGTTTAGCTCAACACTTATGTATAGCTTTTTGTTTTCAACATAAGAAATTTGAGTGTATAATTTTAAACATATATATTAACTAATCCTATAGTTGGGTTTTGTTTCAAATATGGAAATAAGTGCTGTTTTACTTGTAAACCTCCCCTTTAACATCTCAATCAATACTACCTGTGCACCAAGTGTTGAGTGATGAAGTGATTTTATGAGAGTTTCATTCAGTATGTGTACCGGTGCAGCTGGAGATCATGATGAGAGGACGGCAGTACTTGTAGCCATGACCTACTTCAGAAATATGTTCACTATGTAGCAATTAAGGGAAATTACAGGTGAAACATGTTTGTAAAACATCACAACTAAATACGGGCTGTCATTGCTTCAGTATACATCCCCACTGACTACAGGCCACCAGTACTTGTGTATACGTACATCCCCACTGACTACAGGCCACCAGTACTTGTGTATACGTACATCCCCACTGACTACAGGCCACCAGTACTTGTGTATACGTACATCCCCCACTGACTACAGGCCACCAGTACTTGTGTATACGTACATCCCACTGACTACAGGCCACCAGTACTTGTGTATATGTACATCCCACTGACTACAGGCCACCAGTACTTCTGTGTATACGCACATCCCCACTGACTACAGGCCACCAGCCATCCCCACTGACTACAGGCCACCAGTACTTGTGTGTACGTGCGCACATCCCCACTGACTACAGGCCACCAGTACTTGTGTGTATCACGCTACATCCCCACTGACTACAGGCCACCAGTACTTGTGTATAATACATCCCACATCCCCACTTGTGTATGACTACAGGCCACCAGTACTTGTGTATATACGTGCACATCCCACTGACTACAGGCCACCAGTACTTGTGTATATACGCACATCCCCACTGACTACAGGCCACCAGTACTTGTGTATAATGCACTGACTACATCCCCACTGACTACAGGCCACCAGTACTTGTGTATATACATCCCACATCCCCACTGACTACAGGCCACCAGTACTTGTGTATATATACATCCCCACTGACTACAGGCCACCAGTACTTGTATATCGTACATCCCCACTGACTACAGGCCACCAGTACTTGTGTATCACGCACATCCCCACTGACTACAGGCCACCAGTACTTGTGTATATCGCACATCCCCACTGACTACAGGCCACCAGTACTTGTACATCCCCACTGACTACAGGCCACCAGTACTTGTGTATACGCACATCCCCACTGACTACAGGCCACCAGTACTTGTGTGTATATGTACATCCCACTGA